GTCTGCAATTAATAACTTTGATCAGAATATTTATGCCTCTTCATCATCTAACACTAGTATCACGCCAGTTGCTTCGTCATCTAATGCTCAGTCCAATGAATGGATAGTGTCAGATAGAGTAAACCGCACCAACCGTGTTCAAAGACCAATACTGCCTAAGCCTTCTGCAACCAACAATCATAAAGAAGGCCGTCAAGGTCCTATATTAGATGTCAAACTAATTATTGCTGATCATCGATCAAAAAATCCTGAAACAGCTGTGACTAAAAGAGGCCGTAGGAAGGTGACTGCCAATGATTTTTCAGTACCTACATCTTCAGCTCCATTACGTTATCCAAATCCTATGGGTTTCGGTAATCCACTTCATCATGCCAGTGATGGGAATTTTAAAACTAGTAAGTTTAATAAAGGGGTAATTATGTATTTATTAACTAAATAATTTTATTGGAATTTAAATATTTTTAAATAATATTGTGTTTTGTTCAGCTATCACAAACACCCATGGAGTTCCAAATAATGTTATGGAACATGGGTCTGAACATAATCGTTTTAAAGATGTTCCTGCTTTTCCAGAAGTTACATTGCATCCAGTTTCGCAGCCAATGCAGCAGCAGCAGCAACTACAGCAACAACAAATACAACAACAACCACAGCCAACATCTCTATTGCATGGTAATTTTTATCATTAAGATTTAATACTAAGTAAGAAATACTTCAAATTTGTATTCATGAATGATATTTTTGGCCTATCATAATATTGATAGCTCATAATGAATATTGATACATTAAGATCGATATATTTAAATGATTGCCAATCATAAACTAGAAATATCTTTGTTTTATAACATTAATGTATGCATAATTCCTACATAGTTGGATTAAGAATATAAACCTTGAAAAACCAATAAAGGTGACTTTCTTAAAAAAATTGAAAGGCTATAAATTAGTAGACAAATGCTTATTTACAAAGTGAAAAAAACTCCATCCATCATTTTTTTTTAGGTTTTATGTTTTATATTCCTATTAATTAATTTGATGTATTTTTGGTGATAATTATAAATTTATTGTTATAGGAATTCTAACTAAAGGCGCTGGCACACACCATTTACCACTTAGTATGTCACACCCTCCAACCAATTATTCGCCTACATTAGCAAGACTGTTAACTGCACCAGAACGTTGCAAGCAAAGTAGAGGAAAACGTCAAGCACCTGCAGCTACTGTTGTGTCTTCCAATGCGGTAAATACTAATTCAATTATTAAAGTGAAATTGCTACTTACAGATACCTTACAATACCATAAACCTTTTTTTTTTATCACTATTTATAAGTTCCATTATATACTTACATTAACATTTAGATGAGGTCTTTATTAAATATTGATTTAATAGGATTAAAAAAGTATTTTTTATGAAAATAAAAATTGTAATTCATAATGTAATTTTATAATGTCAGACAGGTTACAGGAATTGGATTTTAGAAGATGCACATCGGTAAATTATAGTGGTTTCTTGTAATATTCAATTGAAAAACAATGATTTATCATTAATTCATAACATTCTTATAACTAACATGCTGACATTTCTTCAATATTTTTCCATGTTTTGTGAATAGGGTTTTCTAATGTTAACAGAAAATAAAAAACATTACCTCTTAACTATTGCCTAGATAAAACTATTTACAAAGATACTACAATACACATTTCGGAGGTGCTCAGCTGTCCATACAAGTTAATAAAAAACTGTTAAAAGTTAAATAAAATATTCGTACAACATTGAAAATTGTACAACCAATATCTTGCTTACCGTATTTTGCACATAATCAAATAAGGAAGTATTAACAATAAGATGGTTATGTTAGTAAAAATATTAAAATAATAATAATAACATAGATCAAATAAGTTTAATTTTAATAACTTACAGGTATTTCACAAATTAAAAAATTACTTATTAGTTTGCTAATCATTTTTAAAAAATTTTTAGTATGACACCTAGTAATTGTTTAATTAATTACTATTATCTAATTTGAAACTTTGACACTCCTAAATTAGAAACAAAAGCAATTTTACTCTAAAGATGTTGAGTAATAATTAGAAAAAACAAAATATGCTACATTTTAATATTTGTACTAATACAATACAACAAATTAAGAACACTGAACCAATTCAATTACATCAATATTTTATTAAAAATAATTACTACATAACTACAATTACTTATTAAATGATATATTTAAAAAAAGTTATATTTTAATAAAAAAAAAAAAAACATTTAAATTGTGACGTATTCGTGCGTATGTTTGTTAATTTGTTTCTTATAACTTCATCTTAGCTAAATCTTTCATTATACCTAATACCATTTTATCTTGTATTTATCCTTTATGTTGGAAATTTAACTTAATGAGTTTATCATGATAACTATTATATTATACTATTTTATAGTACGGTTTCTCTAGGCAGGCAACTGTCTAGGAAAAGGAGCCGCTCTCCCCCTCATAACTATATATTGCAGAACCATGTGTGAGCCTAATTATATTTTCTGCCAAATGGGCAAATTAACTAAGCTATTGAACCAAATGGTACTCTGCCAATACACACCTTAACAATTAAAAAAGTGTTGGATACAAACAAAGGAGGTTAAGAAAATCAAATATCACTTAACATTCACAAAAGATTTTTGTACACATTTATGTTGTTATCAATAGTAAATATTATGCTAATTAAATGTTTTATATTTTAGCAATCCCGTAATGAAATAACTATTACTCCGGTTCAGAGTACGTCGATGTCTTCAACTTTTCAACAAAAACCAAGTTGTTCATCAAATATACCAGTATGATTAACCTACCCTAAAATATTTACATAAGTATTGTTAATTTTTTTTTTTTTAGCCTGCTCAGGTAGATGATGAAGATGCTTCTGATAGACTAGTTATTGATGAAGGACAAGATGTTATGAATGCAAACTCTCCATCTAGTGCTCCACAGTGTCAAGGTTGTATGCAAAAACCTGCACAATTTGTTTGTGCTGGATGTGGCAATCAATGGTACTGCAGTAAAGACTGTCAAGTATGTGATATTACACTTTAGTTATAGTTTTTTAGTAAAAAATATTTCCCTTTTTGATAACCTATTGTTTGTCAGAAATTTTAAATTGTTTTATTTTGATTTTAATGTATTGTTACAAGTTACAAATTAAAAAAGTAACTAGATAACTTTTTTGTTACTTAACCTTCTTTGAGTACATACAACATACATACAGGCAAATGATTACCCCAGGCCAGTTTATTATCACAGTGCCAGCTTTATCGGAAAAGATGTTTTTTAGTGACTTTGTTTACCTTCCTTGATAGAGTTAGTAAATTTTAATAAAATACTTTCATTGGTGTCACTACTATGGTCTACCATTTCAAGTGAAATCTAAATTTAATGGCTGTATATAACATTTTTTTTGACTGATTTTTGCATTAGTTACCATGGTGACCAAATATCTTGTAGGTTCCCCTAACAATCGATGAATAATATGACTACAATACCATAGAACATCCCCTCCATAAAAGAAAATGTGATAGCTATGTTTATGTAAATTAAATACCTACATTTATATGTTACGTTGGAATTTGTAATGTTATAAATGTTAGTTGATGCATTATGTTAAAGATATATCCGATTAACGGAATTATAGTTAACTAATTGAGTTTTAGTAGAATGCATATAAATTATATTATAATTATATTTATTATATATAATAATAGCTTAAATATTAATTACTGACATATTACTGATTTTAAAGCATTAAACAAATATATATTCTTATTTACTAAATGAACGCAATAAAATGAAATGATTTTTATATTAAATCTTTATATTTAAGAAACTGATAAGTTGTAATAAATATATAAAAGATTATTTAGTGGTATTTTGAATTTTTAGTTGTAATAAATAAAAATTAAACTACATACTAAAATGTAAAATTATATTTATTTTGTTTACAGATTGATGCTTGGGATGATCATTCAGAAGTCTGTAGCGGTTAAACTAATTATTTAAATGTGACATTTGTGCCAAAAAAGATCTCTTAAAGATTAAACTAAACAATTTAAAGTTGGTAGCTGGCTACCTAAATCGTTTTAGTAGTTGACTTTGGTCTTGAGTACAGACCCTTGGTGTGAATCTAAGTCAATTTACTATTTGCGTGTATGAATGTATAATATATGTATGAATATTTAACATTTATACACATAAAATTAATCTTTATTAGGAACTGACAAATTGTTATAATATACCTATTTATAAGTATATGATATATATTTATGTGTATATATTATTATTATTATTTTTTTTTTTATAAATTATATTATATACGTCTTAATAATTTCCTAATTCCACCATTAGCTTAACTGTGTGTGCGTGTATTAGAATCGTAGAGTCTTATTTTGAATACATAAAATACCGTGGGTCAATGACTGTTAATTAAAACACCCGCGGTATGCTTGTTGTTAAATTGATACAAGTACAATTATTATTGTTTTTTTTTTTTTTTAATGTGAAATAGAGAAATTTATAGTGGCTCATGGTTTTCTTTTTGAATTTACTCATGAACATGATGCACTTGCTTAAAATATAAAATGAAATATTTAAATTATTTGTACTAACCATTAAGGTTTCCATTACTTGTTATAATATTGTATTGTATATAGCATATTGATTAGTTCTTAGGATTTGTTTGTTTGTTTATTATTTATATGTTTTTTCTTTTTTATTTATTCAGTTTTCTGAGTGTAATATTATTTAAATTTAAAACCCTAATATCACATTCAAAATATGGATAGAACCATATCATGATACACGGTTGTATGCATACACTATGGTGTTATATTATATTATACCAAATTAATACAAACGATGGAATATAAAATAATGTTTTATTGGAACATATTAAAAACTAAACGTTTTTCTCTTTTGTTGATATTATTTGTTGCCTAGTAACGTTTTATACACAGTTTAATATGCACTATGTCTGTTATTCAGTGTGTGCTACTGTGCAAGTGTAAGCAGTCAAATCATTTTATCTCTCAATTTGGGTAAGTGTTACCAAATAATAATTTATGTTATAGGTATTTGAGATGTTATACATTGTCATTGAGGTACCAATAATGTTGTATGGTATAGTGCTTCCAGACAATATTCAAAATATTTCAAGTATATTATATGTTAACTGTAAGGCATAATATTTTATTAAGTTTTCACTTAACTACTGGGCTTAGGCATAGGTGTAACTAGGATTTAATAGTCCTATAAAACTAATATTCAAAATAACTGAAGGCCCCACACCCCCACCACAGACCACAGTAAGTGTAACTGTCCTCTAAAAATCAAAATTCAAATTAAACAATAAAATGAAAGCATAAACTCATCATTAAAAACAAAATGTAAATAATAAAGTAAGTACAATATATATTATAGGAGGCTAAATACACATGTAGAGGGGCTTAGCCCGCTCCCCCTAGATACGCCAATGGGCTAGGTGATAGGTAATGGTGTAAATGATAATTTTATTTGTACAAGAAATAGTTAACATAAAACGGAGTTTGTTACCTTTGTTTATAACCTTATAAGTTATTATCATTGATTATAGAATTTATTCTATAATCAATGTTATTACCTACAATACTACTAATACTAGTGCTTATTTTAAACTACAATGTTTCAAAAATACCCAGACAACTTTTTTTGGGGTGGAGGGGATTGTTTGAAGTATAACTACCTATAACCCTATAAGGTGATAGGTGTTGTATATTTGTTTACATTATATTGTCATTTTATTTTTAATATACAATTTTAAGAATCTGTGATGACTGGCCTCCGGCTGATGACAAGGGGGTGGAATGCCTTCCTCTCTCAACCCAAATCCTGCCACTGGTGACTGGTTTATTATTCTGTGCATGGTGTTGACCAAGCACCTGCTCGTTGGGTTGCTAGGAAACTGATCAAGTGTAATAAAATGAAAATAAAAGAGCATTATTGGCTGTTGATCATGAAAGATAAAGGCCATAATATAGATAGGTATCACTACTTTGATAGACTGATTTTTTAGTTTTGTTAAGTGGTCTTTACATAGGAATTTTTTAACGGGGACATCAGCTACCTATTATTGTTCTATAAACTATTAACTAGTACAACAAATATTTAATAGTATTAATATTTAACCGCGTGGGGGTGACTCTATCTCAATAACTTATAGTGCTATAAAAAAAATGTCAGGATTTAAGTCCTCCAACCACTAACTTTATTTTTAAAGGCATACCTAGTTAGGTACGCTTATTCTGGCCTACAATTTGTAAGTACTAAAGTACGTATTGACCGTACAAGATGGAACTTTATCCAAGCACGTAAATGTGAAGATGTTTTTATCTTTAGCGTGACAAACAGAAGTATATATATATTTATAGCTACTGTAGATCTAGGTATAAACTAGTTTATCGGAGTAGGTAGGTATACCTAAGTAAGGTGTTCTTACATTGGAATTTGGAGGTAACTACCTAGGAGTTTTAAAAATATAACTCCTATTATTATACTACGTATATTGATATAACTTTAATTTTCTGATCCAATGTAACATAAATCGCTTTAACAAACCAAAAAATCGACAAAAACTTAATTAACCCACCTATAGGTAGACAATATTGTATATTTTACCCAATGTTTGACTTACGTTTTAATTGACGCTATAAATTTTCATTAAAACCTACATTTTTTTTATTTCGTTAGGTACACCACAACCGTAATCAAAACCGAAAAAGCCTTTTTAATTAATTGACTTATTCTTCTCAGTGTAAAATTATTTACTTATTTGACAAGGTATGCAGTTTTGTAAATGAAAAGTAACCACAATTATTATTGTACCTATTTACCTACTTTATGATTTTTGTATTAATCGAATTAGAATTTATACTAACATTTAAAAGTATAAGTTAAAATATAAAATATAAACTTTATTAATCTATACAAATTATAAATCCATCGAAATAATTCGTATTGTAATGTAGACCGTTATTAAATAAATGTACACCATGTACAAATAACGAGCCATTTTTAACTTTCAAGCAAGAAGATCGAAAATTCTCTTGACATTTTTTTTTACACCGAAAAATTACAGATATTAGTTGCAGCCTTAAATAAGTATTTAGAAAAAATAAATACCGAATTTACATACCCACATTATTTTTATGGCAGGCAGTAAAAATATAATCAGGTAAACTTCTAGTTAAAAACATAGGTATGTAGATACCTAGTACTTACCTATACCTATTACCTATACTGCTAATTGCTATACATGAATAAATTATGTTAAAAACCTGAAAGTTTTTTATACATAAAAAGCCGGTGTTTCTGTTATTATTATGTCTACGTTTTTCCTAATATTTTGATAATTTTAATTGTGATTTCTTTAAGAGAAGGATGGTGAGGTTAATGTTTTATGTATAGGTACACGCTAGTAGAATTAAGTAAGTATCTATAGTATTAAGCATAAAATAGTTGTGTAGGTACCTACCTACTATTGTTTATGTTTTTAATACGAGTACAAGAATGTAAGTTTAATAATATGAATTTATGATGATTATGTGTTGATTATTGTTAGAACATTATTGTGTAGGTTTTTCAAATGAAGTGTTAGTATTTTACTACCATGAACAAGTTTGAAAGCTAAACGTATAGATAAATACCTACCTGCCTATATTTAAACACCTATTTAAAAGTCAAATTGGTTTCCGGCACAGTGAATGACCCATGACATGTACACAATGATTTGAAAGTAGGACTTTTGAGGGTGCGTAGAAAAGTAAAAAAATAAAAATTATGTCGTGGATATAAGATGTGACTAGGTAGGAGTAGTAGTGTTGACACAGATCCTCCTCTGCTGTCGGTTCAAACGGGGGAAAAAAAAAAAAAGATGTGACTAGGAACTTGAATTACATTTTGAATTTTTTTTCATCGGACTATATTATAAAAGATAACGGTATTTTTTTATGTTACATAATATTTTCTCATTTAAATTAAAATTTTTTACATGCGAATCTTAAGAATATGCAATTTTGAAGCATAGACATAGAAACTATAAATAGAAAAGGAAACAATTATCATATTCATATCTGTTTATTATGGCTGGATAAATATATTGCAGTATTTTAACGCCTAAAAATGGGATTAAAAAAATATAAAAAATTGCAATATAATACAATTAAAATAATTATGAAAATTGAATATTATAAATATGAATATTACAATGATGTAAATAATAATCAAAACGATTAATACGGTGTGTAGCGAACTTATACTATCAACTGTTGAAACAACAGCACACGATTGATTTTTAAGGCGTTTGATGTAGGCAATTTTAATGGAATTATCAGAAAAGTTAAAAAAAAAGTTAAAAATTCAAAGCATCTTCACAGTGGTCAGTACTATTATTGGTTGTTTCGTAATGACTATATTATATTAAAGATTTATAGAAAAACGTAAGTTGCAAGTAAAAATGAACCTTTTGAGCCACAGTTAATCATAATTAAGGATTCGATCTCATAATCAGTAGGTAGTACCTAAGGAAAACAATATATTTTGCTGTAATGTTGTCATAACATTTTTATTTATTTTTTTGATATCATTAATAAGAAATACAATCCATTATCTTTTTTAAAAAAGATCCGTGATTTTGATGTTTATCAAGCTTCAATTGCTTTTCTTATAATTATGCTTACAAAATAAAATAAAAACGCTAAAAGATTCAGAATATCGAAAGTCCTAAGAATTGCGTATACATATTTTGATTTCACGACCGTGAACAACTTTGCTATTCAGTGACTGTAGAATCACTCAGACGTCAGACGAGTGGGGTCGTTCTTCGCGCCAAACGGTTTTCCACGAACAATATTTATGGGCTTGCATGGCGTCCTCTCAAGTATCAAATATTTTTGGCCGGTGTCTAACTCAGGATCATAATGTTATTATTCAGTTTGATTGATTTACGTACGTTTGTTATCTCGACGAGCCACAATGCATAATAATACAATGACTGCTTGTTTCCACCAATATACAATAGGTATACTATTAATATGATGATATTATATAGGTTTGGTGTTGCAGTTATTATTATTCGAATTTTGTGGGCGTCTGCAGTAGTACCTACCTACCTATATATTATTATGTGCCAATAAATACGTATTAATTAATCGATCGGGCCATCAGCGATTGTTTGTCATAATATACTATTATGTAATAATTAATATTATAACAATGTGGCGATCGGTGGTGGTGGCGGCGTAGGTCTGTGTGTACATATAGACATTATAAGTCTAAATTAGAGTACAGCTGACGGTGGTACATATAGTTGTACCATAGCCATTATACCTTATAATGGTATATATACCATATGGGTAATACGTTTATATATATATATATATATTCTATAGCTCACAGCTCGGTGGATCATCATCCGAACGGTGATTGTGAATTTGTGAATAATACGACTTATCTTAATGAGTCAGAGTCGGTGGTTGGTTATGGGTTTGTATTTTAACATGCAACGTCTACCTATATATTGTGATACATGATATTATTACAACGTAGCTAACGACTTTATTTCATACACTATGCACGATTATAATTATAATAATATGATATCGTAATGATATTTTAATCGCTCGGTGATGATATTATTAGTTTATTGCCACTGTGTGCCCTTTTATAATTACAGAATACAGACATATAGACTATAAAGTCTATACATTATTATAATTTATAATAGTTTTGCTAATCAATCGTGCAAGTATACCTTACCGATTACCATAATAATATATCATACTTACTCATCGGGGTTATTTATAAATACATTTTATACCTACCTAATACCTATTTTCTAATGATCATTGGGTGATCGAGGAATTTATAATAATATCACGGATGCCGGAACATTCACGATGAGTATTTATAATATTATACCGTAATTTGTACCTGTTGGCAGTTTGTATTTATATTTGTTCTTTTTTATCTAGTTAATAGTTATTGTAATACAATCTAACATCTACAAAGAATTAATATGGTTTACAATGAGCACAAGTGATGTTTTGGATTTATTAAAAGTATAAGAAAGAACAAAATAAAATAAATTTATAACACTTCAGACCTACTCATATTGTGTGAAGTTCACACTGTGACCTGGGACCATACATTGATAATAATTGTGATAACGACGTTTTCGCGGGGTTTTCTCGGTGTCTTACTCGTTTTATATACGTAGGTACATATCATAAATTATAATATTTTAATTTTAATCAAATATTAAAAACATATTATTTTTACGTCATTTTTTTATGGTAATTACTATATAGTTTGCGTGTGATTAAATAGTTGTTAGGCTTGAGTGTGTATGTGTGTTCTTTTAAGAAGAAAAAAAAGGTGGTCATTACGTAGAAAAACGAGACATTAAGCAGCAGTGCTTTTACAGCTGTTGCTATATAACACGTGACTACGCGAGGGTATGACAATAGGACAATAATTATTATTAATTTCTTGCATTATACATTCAACTTTTATTTTCACCTAAATGACTTAATGTATGGCACCGCACAGTATACATACATAGACATAATATGTCTATACATGTACACGATGTATTATGTACACGTCTATTCATATATCTTCATTAACTTATTATATCATACTCGTGTGAATTATAATATTATAACTTTTAGGTACCTACCTACATACCAAATCATATTATGAGATCTTGAAAATTGTTATTTCAGTCTATTGTGAACTGAACTAATTATTATTAGGGTTTATGATCATTTGATTAGTATTTATTATGAACTATTTAGTTTAATCACAGAGATTTATTTTAAACAGCTTACCTATTACTGAAAGCCAAGAGAAGTTTTGATCTATTATTATCATATTGTACATAAGATTATAATAATTAAACTATAAAGCCATAAAGGTGTCCCAATTTTTGAACTGCGCTTATAAACTATTAAATAAGTTAACAAATATTTCATAAATTTTTAATAGTTACACCCTAGTAGTGTAACTGTTTCTAGCTGATCCGGTTTGAGAAATGATCAATAGGTTTAATAGGTAGGTAGGTATCAATAATGTTTTAATACATTAATGAAGTACAACTTAAATTATTATTCCACGTCCAACAAGTACATCACTCTCAAGTATTTAGGATTAATAGTGGATATTTTAATTATTATTTTATTGGCTAATCATTCTAAAGTGATAAATGTATTTTTATTTTACTTGTCAAAAAATTAAGACGAAAAATTGTTGTTTGTTTTCTCAATATTTTATTTAAATCGCTATTGAGTGGAATCATAGAACATGTATTTGTAATCTTACGACTTGATGGTTAACACAAGGAAAGTCGTAAGAAGTATTTAATAGAAGTGTTAATGGTATATTTCATTGACAGTTATGATTATTTTTTAAAACTAACTCATAAATTATTAATTAATTAAAGCAAACTAATTATTATTGTTTTTTTAAAATGATATTTTCAATTGTAATACAAATTATAAAGAAAAATGTCTTATGCCTGTGGCTGTTAAGAGAGAATGACTTGATTATTCAAGTAATATTGAGAAAATTCCAAAGTTCATACATGTTTTATATTTTAAGTTATAATTATTTTTAAAAAAATCAAGTCTTTTTTTAAATAACCAAGTTTCAAGTTTTAATCGTATAATCTATATTTATTTTGGTCGCATTGTATGACTGAATTATTTGATTTGTCTCATTCCGGTACAGACTATAGAGGATGCGTACCTAGGTCTATATATATAAGGAATAAAGTGGGCGCTGGGCAGTCATTGAGATTGGGACACTTTTGTCGTATAGGTACCTATTAAACTTAATGGTTTAGAGAGAAGTGTTTGTTCAACTCTTCAGTGAACTGTATACTATAGTTGTTCTATTTTCGTCCGTGAAGGTTATTTAATCCTCTGAGTGAGCACCGGCTACGTCCTACGTCAAATAACGAGTTTATCTATTACTATTTCAACTCCACTGATTTACAGTAATATTCATCACCTCTCAACGCACTTTATTGACCCTTAAAGATGAATTCGTACCAGTGAACGTTAAACGAACGATTTAAATTTAAAGTATTATTGTTTATTTTAAGTTCTATAAATTAATTACATGAAATGCATAGACACATAGCAATGGTATTGTATAATAAATTAATTTAAATAGTGTACAATACGGTACGTCTAGAAGAATGTTTTTAAAAATCTCAAAAGTTAAAAATTGTTATTTACGTTAGGTATGTGTTAGAGCATATTATATGCTCACCTATTTTCTATTACAGCATAATGTTATACAACTAAGTTACACGAATTTAAATAAGTATTATTAATGCATAACTAAAAACTATTTCTTAAACAAACTATGAAGACATGTATATAGTAAAACTAAATGTACAACTAATTAGTAATTCCTTAACTATTGAATGTCTAAGTAGAAATTTAAGATCTAATATAAAATATTATGTGTTTATGCCTACATTTTCTATAAATAATATAAAATAAGAACTAAGAAGTCCTTACTTACTGATTCATAGTAAACGAACAGTTAACATTATGATACTAGAGACTTGACATTTTCATAGCACTTTCCCACCAGCATGTAGAGTTATAAGAAAGGATTTCTTTAAAGAGGTGCTCACACAGGGATTTTTTATTTTGGTTTTAAATGGCCGTCATTGGTTACGGAAAATAAAAGAATTGCTGTGATTCGATGTAATTTTAGACCTGTATTTTATACTTGGTCAAAATCACCCAAATCACTGTGTTAAAATTTGGGATGGCTTACATTTATTTTCATAGAGTTTAAGACGGAGTGAATCCCGGGCATTTGTAAATTGCATTTGCGATTTGTCACAGGCAACGCCGTCCAAGATTAGCTATAGTACCTATACTACATAATAATATACGAATGTTAACATTTGTTTATTTGTTTATTCACGAAACGGCTTTTTATTTATTTTTATCCAGCGATAATGAGTTGAGTATGACCGGCTTCGGAAGTTGCAGTAGTAGATCATATTCTGAGAGAGTAAACAAACTTACAAATACGGGTAGCTACTATCATACGACACTATTATAGCTGCAGGGATCGTATTGAAACAACGTTTGAGCGTCAAGACGAAGAAGAGGAAACAATAGGTCGACTACAAAAAAAAAAAAACACGCACGAGTTATGACTTGTGAATACAATCATACCATTATATTGTCATTATTGTAATCGTCGTCGGACGGATGTCGTTGTTCAAAGTCCGAGACTGCTGGTCGACCGTATGCGGCCGGGGAGAGACTTTCGGGTGCGACGCTCTGGCGGTGGACGACCTGTTCGGCGCCGGCGAGGACAACGTTATCCTGGGGAGCTTGGACGGCGTCCTCAGAGTGTATGGTGTGCACGCCGCCCCGCCGCCCGATTTGCGGTACTCGCCGTCCGACCTGTTGATCGAAGCGCAGACTGACAGTCCAGTGTTGCAGGTGTGCACCGGTAAATTAATCAGGTCAGTGTGTACCAGTGTACCCATGTGCAATAATAATATCATGTTTGGACGTACATCATGTAGCTGGTTTCTCAAAACCATTGAGCACGTTTTCGATTTTCAAGGCACTTTTTGAGACGTATGCTTAGTATTAGCCGATACCTATAAAAAAATATCTACAAATATTGAGCACAGACGATTATTTTTTTAATGTTCGAAACATTGCCAAACGTCTTCTATTCAACTTATCATCACTTCCATTGAACCGAACATTAATTTATCAATAAGTTCCTAGGTACCCATAATATTGTTTATAAAAGTACGCTTGTTGCCGACCGGTTTCAAATGTTTCAAATGTTTCAATAAGTTTTATAAAATATTGTGCTGAAAAGATGTCAAGACGTGTTATTCTCTTAGCGTTAATAACTTAATAGTAACGGGTAAGAAAGCGATAAGATTAGAGATGAAATTAACCACCGAATTGGTAAATAGGTAAATATAAACATTGAAAATGAGCGGCCATAAACCGGCTAAAATATAATACATTACTATAAATAACTAATAAGGCATGTTTGACCTTGATGCAACAACAAGACATGTCTCAAGATTTCCGAAATTTACTTTTCCATGAAATCGTTTTCATGAAAGAAATACATTGGTACAACAACCATACAAATCCGATTATTTTCTTCTGAGAAATCTTACATTGGTTAATTATTTTCCGCGATGTACTGATGTTAAACAGGATTACGAAAATGGCCGCCCTGAACAATTTCAAAATAATATGGACTTTTCTTGTTGTTGCTTCAAGATTTCCAATTACCTACTGGATTTTAAAGGTCTTGTTCATAGTATTTTCTCTATTTGTTCAACATTAATAATAAGTTGTATAAATGTAATAAAGTAATGTTGTATAAATACTGCTTTTAATATTATAATGTATTAAAATATGTTGGATTGTGTCACAGAGGAGTTATTTATTTAGGAATCTGGATTTTTGTTACATGCATTGACTAATACAATATAATACTAGGTAACTACGAGTGAGAATCGATATTTTAATATTTGTATTATTTTATTTTAAATAACACGTTATTGCCGTCATAAAGAGATATATACGTAGGTAATAAACTAATATTAACTACCTATTGTATGAAATTATTTGTGAAACTCTGGTGAGGGTTTAGTTAACACTCAGCGAGAGTCAAATAAAAACTTTACGACTGATGGAGCAAAAGTTAAATATTTGTTATATCGCTGACGCTTGAACATTTCGTTTAAAGCGTAATATCCAGCAGGGTTTAGTGAGATAGAATAATAAAAAAAAACATGTACAATAATATTATATCGTATTTTTCGGAAATTATTACTTCGCATATAATATTAAAAATAAAATAAATAATATTATGTAAAAAAAATGTATATATACATGTATTAATAGTGTAAGTAGGATCTAATATTATGGCAGTCACCTAAAGGAAACTATAACTATCGTATTTTTTATCTTATATGTTTTAATTTCGTGTGTAGCTTTTTACCTGTGTAATTGTATTTTTAACTTAAAATACTGACAATTGGAATACCTCTGGCCTTTAATATTTCTATAGAGTATAGGTAAAATACTTTTTTTGCACCGGTCTTAGATGTGGTGGTCAGTAGTAATGATAAAAGGTGGTGGATATATTCGGAATTAGAGACGGGTATATTTTATCTCTCGTTAATGAGTTGAATATGGAATTTATGTTGAATTAATATTAAAAGTAATCCCTGATCGATGTATTGAATATCATGCAGATATACGTAGACTACAGTTTTAGTTGTAAAGAGAAATATTTTGAAACATTTGCTTGATAATAAGTAATAACTATTAATGACTATGGGTAATTATGATATATTTTATTGTTAGCTGTTCGCCCAACAAGAACATTGCAGTTCTTCATCCGTTTTCATTAGTCGTACATGGAGTGAATTGCATAGCTGGTTCTACAGATCATGGTAAGAGTAGTTTGTCACCGGTATGATATAATTACACAAAACTTAAAGTCTTAATGTTCAAAGATTTAAATATTGAATTTTCCATAAAATCTATGTCTTATATATATCTACTAGTTTATTTTTATCAATAACAATAAATTATTATAATTTTTCAATAACCATTTTTATTAGATTTTCACTATATTGCTATTTATATTATATTTAAAATGTAAATACAAGCACTAATATATTCTTAAATATGCATATTGTATATTTGCATCAGAAAATAGGATTGAACATCAAGCGAAAATATAAATTGTGTGATCACTGATCAGTCATGTTTCTTTTTTAATTTTCAATTTCATTTAAAAAAAATTAAGCACCTATTTTAGTTTAACTTGCATAGCCGATGTTTTTTTTATAGAAATTAAACATTTTCTATGAGATATAATTTATGTAATTTTATGTTACATATAGAAGATAAATATTGCTTTTTCCGCGTAAATTATTATGAAATTGAAAAACCAATAAACTGTAATTTTGAATTATATAATTACCAATATAGTTAAAATATAAATAATTAATTGAAAAAAAAATAATTACCTATAATAATATATTTTAATATACAGTAAAAATCTAAAAACTATAAAAGTGTATCTACTTCGAAAAATGTTAACTCAGCAAATCATTTCTTTTAAATAAATATATAGGATATTAAAACGTAATATTTTTGTTTTTAAAAATAGTAATTTTCTTATGCGTATCAAAATCAAAAAAATGTATATTTTTTGAATCATACTTTGTTTAATTAAAATGGGTACATTTAGTTTTTTTTTTATTAAAAGTTATCCATTAAAATGTGCCTTTATTTAATTTAGTGAATACATATTTCTTGCGTTTGTTTTTAATTTGTTACTCTTAACGAACAGAAAAATAAGGATTTTCTTTGAAATATTAAAAAAAATATTTTTTTAAATTTCCTTTAGCGGATCGATAGAAAAAGAGCACTTATTATTACATACCCCAACATATATTGTCTTTTAGGTACAAGTGAATTTATTTTTATTTTTTGACATAATTCATGTTTCCTGGAATGTTTTCTACATCGATTTTTATTGTATTGTCTTTTTATAGTTTAATGTACGAAATGGATATTATAATTGTGTTCAGTCATTATAACACAACTATTTTCCTATGAGAAATCGAGAAGTAATTTTACTTTAGTGCGATGGTTCTTATCTACCCTAGTTTTTGGTTTAATGTTCTGCTTTTAGAGTATCTATACAATTGAAGCCGATGTACTTAATATTAAAAAAAAAAAAGAAATTATAATCTTTTAGAATATTGATCATATTATAATGTCTCTCCTACAGCTAGTATTAATTTACCCTGTGAATATAATTGACATTACGACATTGTGGTCACGCTGAATATTGTCCCTATCCGTGTTCCATTATATTAACCATGAAGAAGAAGAAGAAGAGGACCTGAACAGAATGGGAGTTCAAGAATCGAAAGAACTAGACTCGGATAGAGAAAAATTAAGGGATTTAGTGATGGCCCTGAAAACTCTTAAAGAGTATTAAGGGCCAGATGAAGAAGAAGATCTTAAAATATAGTTCAATATCATAAACTATTAATAAATTGCGATGTTATAATAATATTAACACTTGAATTTTCGTCCATCGGCAGGCGATCAGTACGTACTGGAAACTATGTACGAACACAAATTCGACCGGAGTGCATACCAAATGGTCGTGGGCCCTTTCGGCGGTGGATCGGGCAGCAGGGATTTTGCGTGCGTCATGTCACTGGACGGCGCCGTCACGGTGTACGAGCAACAGGCGTTCGGTTTTCGCACGGCTTTGCCCAATTACCTGCACCCGTTTCCCATCAAGTACGTCCGATCCGTGGACGCGTTTATCACGCTCAACGCCGACCTGTGTTTGGTCTGTTACAAGTGAGTAAAGGTTTATCTTTGCGGCTTACTGCAGTATAAAATATGACGAGAAAAATGCACATCCGGTAGTGGGATGTACAACTATGTACTAGGTAGTAGGTCGATCATTTATTCGCTCCAGCGCCGCGCATCGACTTTTGTGCCGAACTTTTGTAGCACACAACACAGTAGTGTTACCAGAATTTTTTTTTGGGGGGGGGGAGGTAGGGAGCTTATGATGTGTTTACACAGATTTGATTTAACTAGTATCTCCCATAAGCTTAGCATACAGATGTCAAGGTTTTATCAGTATTTATGTTTCAGTTCCTGTACGACTATTCAATTTGTATTTGCAATAACTTTCATAGACCATAGAAATAATTTTTAGTTTCTTAAAATGTCGATGGAGTGTTGGGGCTCAGCCCCATAATACTGAGTTACAACATTATTGTACATTATTTATTGTAGCCTAGGACTGCTTCAGGTACCTGGCAATATCCGCCGAACGGTGAACATAATAATAATAAGTAATAATAATAATAATAATACATACGCTGTGCCACACGTTTATATTGTTATTGTGTCGTTGTTTACTCTGTTGAATAGACTGCTGTGATATTAGATTTCGAACAGAGCAGTAAAAAAATATCAGTTTTCGAATTTCCTTCCAACGATTTTCGAATCGATGACGAAAATCTGAGTAGAAATGTGTAAGCATACATGGCCAGTTGCGTAGTGATAAAAATCTTAACCATTTTTTTTGTTTAGGGTAAAACTGCGTTCTACTCCACATTGTTTCTCGAATGCAATGTTTTTATTTTTTTTATTGCTGTCAAATAATATAAAGGCCACCACGTTCCAACCACCCTTCTGCACACACCAAACTCTTGGGAGCATCTCCACATTTTTAAAAATCTTTTTAAGATTTACAATTATTTTAATGGACTTTATAGTAGTTATTATGAAAATTTCAAATTATTATTATAATTATTTTTTTAATATTCTATGTAGATATATAACCGATTTAAAAGAGTATATCTTAAAACAAAGTCAATGTTAAATAATTTATGCGAGCAACTGTTAGTGTTACTGTCAAGAATTTATTGTCTTAAAAATATTTTTTCTCAAGTGCTTTTTTCTCCGCTATATTTGCATTTTACATACTATTGTTTTTTTTTAAAAATAAATATATATATAGCTAGCCCTTTCACTGATATGGGCACATATATAAGTCCTATCATTAAAAAAAAAAACAATACAATTTAATGTTTTGATGAATGTGACAGCATGAACATAGTATAGTAAATGATTAAGAGAATACAAATATACACTAAACAAAATTTATATATTTACTAAAAAAATTAGTAAAAAAATATAAATTAGCAATAGAGATACTTGAGCTATGATAATAAGAAATACAAAAAAAAAAAAAAAATCTTAAAAAAAGAAATTTTATCTCCCCACAGTGAAATGTACTTGAAAAATGAATTCATCAATGAAAGGACTAGTTGTATCTAAAATCTACAACAATAATTAACTATTTAATATAGATTTTATGCTTGTATAGATATATGGAACACATTTGAACAAATGTATTTTTAATCTCTTTTATCTAGTAGGTTCTTAGTATAGTTAATTGAAAAACTACGCTGTACTTATATTTTTGGTTAAAAGGATAATCTGACCTACAGTTTAAGGTTTAACGAATGCTTTGATATACTCATAGTTCAGTTGAAATAATGATGTAGAATCAACTTTTTTAATTAAACATGTACACATATTTAATTGAAAATTGTGTAGACGTATACATTTGGTCCTTTTGAGAAATATTTAATATAAATATTAAAGCTTATTTGCTGTATTTATTTAAATATAGGTACGTCTGTTTTCAATTCATAAAAAGTCTTTTTTCTATTTATTTAGGAAAGTTGATCCTGCTTCATGAAATACTCGTCCAAACTTTATGCATTTATGAGATTATTAGTCTAATAGTCAATATGTATGTTATGGTTAAATAAAGGTACTAGTAATTCATTTCAGAATTTAAAATGTACTGAGAAAATATTATGCTTAGTTAATACTATATCTATTTTCAAACCCCGCTGCTTCATATAATATTCAGTGATGGCAGTGATGGTATGAAATTTTTTTGAATATTAAGATGTTAAATTTCTAAACACGAATATTAAATATATTATACATAACTATATTACTGTAAATTTTAGTAAAAATAAATATGCATTTTAGAATCAGGTAAATAACTAGATTTTAATAATGTATTCAGATAAATATGCAAATCATATTACTTAATTATTTATTATAATGATCTAATGTAGGTGATCACTAAAACACCGAGGTTACCATTTGTATGCTGTTTTTCTTGTTCGAGAAAACTAAGTTTTGTCTTCGAAAAGGTATTTTAAGAATTTTATTATACCAACAATATGCAATAAAAATATAAATAAAATGATATAAGTATATTCTCTTGTTTAGCTTAAAAAAATGTTTGTTTATTATCATAAAATAATAGACTAAAAACATTATAACTTGTCTTTTGTTGTTGTAATTTTATCAAATCATAAGTTTTTTGCAAAATTTAACTATTAATACAATTTCGTACTAATTGCAAAGCACTGTTCTAGAGGATTATTCGATGATGACCAAAACGAGATGAGTGTTCTAAAGTTAACAATCAGCCTCTGTATTCCATCTGCACTTATTAATTTATATTTTTAGTGTCACGAATTGTACACATTTTTATAAGAAGCTTTTCATATATTCCTATATCATAGTATTTATTTTAATAAAATATATATTATTATTTCCCTCCTAATCTTCCAATATTCTATTGTATTTTACTATTTTGTATATAATTCTTGGACGTTCTCTTCACCAATTGTGTTATTAGATTTGCCTCCAGTCCAATATAATATTTTATTAATATGTGTTGATATGTTGGAAATAATAATATACACGAAACACAAGCGACGCAAATAATCAAAACTTTGTGTACAATTCGTAAAATATTTAAAAGGCCAAGCGTAATGCTACGATTCAAATTCTTTAGGTACCAAGAGCTGGCGGACCCGAGTCTAAAACAAAAGTGGCCTATTTGGTCGTGCACCTTGGGCGAAACCTTATACGACATTCAGACTGTAGAAATAACACCATCTGTGACTACAATACACGTACTGGGCGAACGAAACTACTATTGTTTTCAAGGCAACGGCGTGCTGTGGTTTATGAAACGGCTTCAGTATACTCCTTGCTGTTTTCACCCTTATATTCTAGGTATACCTAACCATAAAAGCATACTGCAGCTTTTACAAGACTATAATAATATTACTCGCACTTGTATAATATATGATAATATGCTGTTCGTAGATTAAAATCATCTCGCTCAACATATCATTTTATTATTATTATTACACGTCGCAAGAGATTAATTTATTTCCAATTCATATTTTTAGTCCGCATCCACTGGGTTATTGATATTTAAAAGATTAAAATGAATTTTATACGCGTTTTCTTCAACGTTAAACCATGTTAAACCACGCTAACTTACTTGTACGATAATGCTTTATTATTATTATAATAAACGATATTGTATACACACTACAATCATTCATTAGGTATATAATATTATCGCGCAGAATGCAGACTATTTTTATACGAAATATATCACTCGCCAACACTATAAACCTACTGTGAAAACTTTTTTCTGCTTTTGTTTATTTCGGTATTTCGTTATTTTTTTATTTCAGGCGAACACCCTGAAAATAAGACTATGTGCATGATCGTATCCGATACCGACAGTGTCTTGGTGTATGATCAGACAAAACTTCGATGGTCGGCCAAGTTGTCCTTTCATCCGTGTATTATTGCGAGAGCTTCTTTTAAAGTACTGTTTGTTGTTATACCTATACTTGATATTTTATAAGAAATTTATTGTTTTTCCTAAGAGTTTATGTGAATTATTTATAATAGGCGTTACAAGGATGTTTGGTTATGTTGTCGGAAACCGGCGATTTGAGGTTTTGTTACCTGGGAACCGAACCCATGATATTTATGACTCCCGAAAGACCGATCAAAGATCATAAAGACACCAAGAACCAACTAGCTCAGTTGAAAAAGGACCTTCAAAATATGTCCTTGCAAGCTGGTATGTTTTTATTTTAAGTATGTTGCATTGATGATTATTTTTTTTCTTTGTTATAAAGTGCCAATTTATTAAAATAATATTATTATGTTGCATGTTAGTAAAATGTTCGAAATCGCATAAAGCTCATAAACATTATTAACTGTGTAATATTTGGACGACTCATTTATTATTTATGGGGCTTTCAACATATTTAAATTTTTGTTACGTATACTAATTCATTTAAAATGCCACAAGGGATAACCTATTATTACAAATTATAACTATAAAATATTTTAATTTCATTTTTTTAAACAAATGAATAAATATCTAGTACTCACTATAATAAAAAAATATTATACAGATATAAATAAATATATATACTATATAGGTTTCGAAGTTTATAACAAGCGAAAAAGTTTTTCTTAAATTTTAAATCGAAAAATAGTTAAATTTATGTAAGCTTAAGAGATATTTTGATTTTTAAAAAGTTAATTCAGCAAAACTATTAATTAAAGTCAATGAAACTATGATCCCAAAGTACACTTTGTATACTATTCAAATACATTTCAATTATATGTGTAAACATTTTGAAATTTTAATTAAATTATTAATTAAAACATGCATACGTATATTATGTATTATATGTACATTGTACATAGGTAGTACTTTAATAAAATATATTATGATAAATACAATAATAAAAGATTATGCTATACACTGTGCTTTGTATTCAATGTAATTTTTAGTTTTCATAAAATGTGTAACAAATATTATTTAATATAAAAATTAATGTACGAAATTGGCACAAAATATTTATTATTTTTCAGCAATACTCATATATTTAGAATACATTTTAGCATAAATGTATCACTATTTCATATACTTTACGCCGTGAAACAAATTATGTTATAAATAAATAGTCTTCTTCTATTACTAACGATAACTCCATAGATTATAGAACATGTATTTCAGTTAATTGGACGGTCTAGAGATACAAATTTAATAGAATCTTTATTATTTTTGACTTCGTATGATAACTTAAATATTGGATTTTAATTTTTTTTCTTAAATATAATACATTAATACATTATTCTATAAACTTTATATTATATGTATAACATTACAATTTTTTTTTCATATAATATATATTTTTAATAGAAATATTACTTTAACTATGTAATAATGCATCAATTAATATGCATATAACATTAATATTAGAAGTGTCAAAATGTTTTCGTCATATTATTATGTTTCTTGAAGTTATATATCAAAAATATTCGTATTATATTATTATGTGTAGTTCATTCAAATATTTTGAAATTAAAAAAATTTAAAATTTGTTATTTTTAATGATGATTTTGTTTTTTTTATTTTAAGAGACTGACACTTTACCACTACTGAAATTAAATACTCGTATTTTAAACTTACGTTCAGAGGGTTTGGGGAAACAGTGTGACATTGAAATAGAAGTGTCACCATCTCTAGCCACAGCATCAGTGCAAATTACTTTCCAGATGGTCGCTCCACTTGTCGTTTCACCTGCAGTTATACATTTAAAAGATTTGAGTATGTATAGTATGTATTTTAAGAACGAAAAAAGTCATATGATATAATCGATAACTTTGTAATCGTTTTGCTATAATTATTTTAAAATAAAATGCAAATTAAAATTAAAAAAAAAAAATCGATAACATACATTTTTAACATTCACAACAAAATATTGTATACTATATAATATTACCTATGTCATCATGATAAATTCAAGCATATTTCTTATATTAAAAAAAATGGAGTTTATTTAAAGTAACAATAATTATTGCCCTCATCCTATAAATATGAATATTATATTATATGATAAATAAGTATGTCGTACACATCGTTATATCTAAGATCTAACCGAACCTAATATTGAAAAAAATTTTCAAAAATGTGTTGTTCTGTGTTTATCAGACTTGTCAATTTGAACGCTTCCAAAATAACCATCAGATTAAACACACGATTTATAACGACTTACTATACCGTTAGGTATTATTAACAAACCATTTCGTATTTGATAATAATCAATACGATGTTTTTTTTATTTCACAAAGCGGTATAAGATGGTTAAACTTAATGACAAATATATTTTTTAAAGTCTTTATCGTAATGTCAACCTTTTTAGGCCAGTCTCGACAAGTTAAGCCACATAAAACTTTATTTAACTCTCTTGGGGGGTTAGCCGTGTATCAACAGATGGTAAAAGACTGGTAAAATGTTCAAACGCGAAAAAAAACTTACCTACCTACCAATGTAGGTAATTCCTATGTATTTTATTCTTTATCGTTATTTATGCTGTACAACTTGGTTTGAGCTTACTTAGTTTTAGGAAATTTCAATAATCCTAGTTTTAAATGTGAGTATCTTTAGGTATCTTTCCTTAAAAAATAAAAGTCGAATACTAGATAAAATCGCGGTATTTCGATATGTAATGAATAATATATTATATAAAGTGCATTGGCTTAATCTCAACCAAAAAACCATAATATTCTATACTGTCATATTATTATACATTTTAACGTTGAGCGAATTTGCTACGTATCGTGAACTAATTGCCACGGCTTGAACTTGAATATTTTTTTTCCTATTGTAACGGGCAACAGTCGTCTTAAATTTCAGTGTCGACGTGATGAAACCATGCATTTTTTTTTAAGGTGGACCGCAGGTGGATACGCGACGCAATCGATCAGGGTGGACAACCCTTCCTGTATCGATGGTATAATATGTTAAACATTTTTTTTTTTTTATGATTTCAAACTTATAGGACAGTAGGATATATTATGATTGTTATGCGTTTATTATACAGTTATGTGCGTTTGCGTGTTCTAGCCGAAAGTATAACGGTCCGAGTGATGGCGCACAGACAAAACGATGACACAGAGTCTGCAGTGTCGTCGACGGAATGCACTATTTGCGCATACTATTCTGGGACATCAGACGTACCGGGCTCAGTGCAGCAGACTGTCCGTTTACCGTTGACGTTGGCTTACGAAGTCCATTCGACGCCGTACTTAGATTTTAGTTGGTCGGCAAAAATATCCGTCGACGAGAGTCCGGTAGCACTGAAAACACTGTTCAAAGGTGAGGTGAACTGTAGTTATAACACGATAATATAATAATAATAATTATTATTGTTATCATATAAGACGTATATACCTACTATCGAGATATACAAAGTAGACCGATTAGACGTATATAATATTCATGGTTCTCATTATCGTTGCTTTACTTGTGAAGACATCTGTATCATATTACTTTAAGATATATTGATGTCTCTATGCTCGCTTATCTCCACATTTCTTCACTGAAATGAATAAGGTGATAAAAATCGTTGGTTATTGGGAAGGGAATGGAATATGGGAAATCCGAAGACCGACTAGAAAAAAAGAAAACGCTTTGAAGCGATACCACACTCTGCATTTATTATTTTGTAGGCAAACTGGTCAAATAATAATATACTCACCTAGACAGAAGCATATTCTAAAGACGCATTATAGCTGATTAATACCTCCTTTAAATTTATAATCTGTTCGTAGGACCTTTTTATATTATAAGGTTTTTAAACTTTGTATTACATCACATTATTTTTAATGAAAGCGTTTATTAATCATTATAGCGTTCAAAATTCTCTCAGAATTAAGTCGTAATTTCTCAGTATTATAATTTATTATTGAACGTAGTATTACGAATTAGTAATTACACAAATGGAAAGTTGGTATATTTTCATTTTTTAAATTTTTGGAATATCAAATTAATATTGAAAGAAATAATGGAGTACTATATACTAACAAACCATATATTTTGCTCTTTCTCTCAATACATAATAATAGGTGAGGCTAATATATAAACACTATACATACACATAGTGAAACTATAATACTGAGCACACGATATTTAGAAAATACCAAATCTGGTATTAGCATAGACCTTATATTAAGGTAGTATAAGATCTGTGGGTGTCAGAAAGTATACAGAGTTAAAGCCTAAAATTTTTTCGTTGCACTTAGATATACTTGGCTGAGTCACTCAATCTGTCAATAGCTATTCTTTTATTATTGGACTCTACAAATTGAAAATATCAGAGTAATAAATAAAAAGCTCAGAATTTAGGATATATTTCATAGAAATGTTATTTATTATTTTTCACATTATATGTACATTTTGTTATAAATTAATAATTATGTTTACAGTTTACAAAGAAAACAGTTGGCTAGATCGTACATTTGCCTTATGCTCGTGTATTGTACATTTATATACATATTTAAGTTTGTACAAACAGTACAATATAATTTAGTAATATTTTGGTTGATATAAAATGTTTCCAACTGTACTGTTCATCAATATTAATGTTAATTATTGTGTAAAACATGTCTGTAATAACTTATTAGCAACAATCAACAATGTGTTTTTATTAGCAATCATTAAAATGTAAACTACTTACGATTCATGATAAATTTGCTCATAAAATTACATTTCCAATACGTTAAATTTTCGAAAGATACACGTTCGTAATAATTTTCTACTTAATATTTCCTAGGTATAACATTAACGTCTTTTGTTAACAATTTGTTAACATTTTCGTATACCTATGGATAGCCTGTGAACATCACAACATGAAGTTATTCATTTAAATTTTAAACAAATAATTTTTTTTTTTAAATAAATACAAATGATGAACACAGGTCATTTATTATCACCCTCGTTTTTATTGTTTGTGCAATTAAATTAGGTACTTACTACTTACACATTGATTTATGAAATATGGTAGTTAAAACTATTAATTGTTCCAATAAATTCGAGTCTCTACTCTTGTCATATTAAGAAAAACGTCAACAAATAATTACACCTTTATACATTTACATTAACACAGAATAAACCGACGAAAATTGATTGTAAATAATTTGTAATGTTAAATTGTGTCTCGCATAGAGTTTGCCGATTCATCGTTAGCGGAATTGTGTTTTCGAACAATCACTGGTAACTCAAAGTATGTCGGTGTTACTTCATTACCCGCCAATCGTTCTTACGAAATACGATCATCTGGCCCCGAATACACTAATGTAATTCTCGAAGAGATTTTGTTCAGGTACGTAAAAGTTTACCATAGTAATAACATTATTAATGATTGAGGTTTAATTTGAACACATGTCACTAAAACATTAAACAAAATTATTTTGGTTAGGCATAGAGAGTATTACAAAACTAAAAAATGCGTCATGCGCTGTGATAAAAATGAAATCCCAGTTGCGGATTTATATCGGACGATTGAGGAGTATGTAGCGCTCAAAAGAAGACTCAATATTATACAGGTAAATTAAATATAATACTATAATATCTAATATTCACAAAATTTAAACCATAAAGAGATTTTTCATCGCTTTTTTTTTAACACCATATAATATTATGAAAATATTAATTAAAGAAGTATATCTACGCACTACAATCAACATATTTTTGTAGATGTTGGATTTCGGTTAATAAGTCTTGTCGGTTGATTTATTTTTTTGTGCATATTCTTAAATCAGAACTTGGTCAGGTACCATTAGAATTTTATGTGGTGGGTAGAGTTAATGATGGTTCATGAACATGTGCATGGGCTGAACATTTTTCCCTAAAAATTCGGGCGGTGGTCACCTATTCGGGAGCTATTGACTCCGAACTATGCTTGAACCACCGAGCCACACCAGACCACCAGTTTTTGTGATATTTGGTTAATATTTTTTGGATTATTTATACTCGGTTATATTTTATTGAAACATGCACATTTCTTATTTCCGCATTTGTTTTTCTTAATGTTTCTGTAATTATAACACAAATAAAGTAGAATTATCAATATTAAATAATATAGACATAGCCATTCCATGGGGGTCTGAAATAAATAATTACAATTAGAAAAATATGAAAATTTAAGAAACTATGATGGAATAATACCTATTCTCTTGAATAGTATAAGTTTGAAGTACTCGAAAGTATATATATGTTTACACTACATACGAGTATATATAATTATGAATAATAACCCAATGTTAAAGATTATAAACTTAAGTATTTTTTCTCTTTAGGAAGAAATCGCTTCATTATGTTCGCAGTATCGAATCATACAAAAGTGTTTGTTCAATAAACTCAAAGAAAATACTGTGCTTTCTGTGTCCAGTTTGAACGTATTGATAGACGACACACACGAAACATTAACAGAGAAAATGTTAGAAATTGCACTTGTCAAACAGGTGGGTAGATAAATTGTTGTTGCATTAATTGTGTTATAAAATGCAATTTTCATTAGGTTCAGTTATATTATTTTATAGGGGTTAAAAGTGAAATTTTGTCAGCTGATGTCTTTATCGAGGCTTTTGGTCACGATGTTGGGTCTGTGTTCTAAAAACGATAAAATTCTCCTAGAGCTCAAAGAAACTGTCGTCCATTTTACCGATAACCAGGTAATTCTGTCAAAATATTTATATGAATTAACGCAGTGAAAAATTACGATATAAGTATAGAACATATTATTAAGTATTTTAGTTAGTTCTTAGGAAACTGCCAAATCTATGCTTAACGTGTAATACCCTTTTAATACCATCTAGTCCCAATAACGGTATATTTTTCAATGTGGTTTATTAATATTTAATAACATTGTCGATTTAAAATTTTTCTTTAAGCTTAAAAATTACATTGTGTCATATAGATATAGAAACGGGAATTAATGACATACTTATTATATACGTATGTATATTGATTAATTATTTTCATCAAAATGTCTGCATGGTTTTTGATCATATTTTCATGTTAGTATACTTAAAGTTGTCATGACAAATTTGAATTTTATCTACTCAATTATTTACTGTTCATTAACTTAGTAATTATGAGTATTGTGGACTAATATAATATTTAGATATCCAGTGGTTTTTGGCTATTAAAAATATTAGAATAATATCAATAAATGAGCTGTTGCAAGAGTTTAATGAATAAATTAATGCATCTAAAAAACTATTTTGAGCAAAATGTCTGTGACTGTGTTCAATTTAATATATTATTTTTAATTCCTCTTACTCGTGCCATTTTTATTTACTTTTAGGATGAAAATTATTTAAAAAATACCTAGGTATTCAAAGTACAGTGACTTAACTGATTTTCCAAATTATTTACAATTATAATATGATAATTTAATATTTTGAATATGGTTTTCTTCCCAAAAAACATAGAATATTAAAAAACATAATATTATTGTGTAACCAAAATAAATAGGTATATGATATTATTATACTTTCATCGCCTTGCTTGGAAACTGAATTTTATGGTTAAACGAGTCTATAACTGTTTTCCATCAAGTTCGTCAATCTTACGAAATGATACTTAATTCTAAATACTACTTGATTTTTCATAACTTTTTATGCAAACAGAACTGGGAAGACATTGTCTTTCACTCGCTGACCTATTTGGTCGGTAACAAAATCACGTTAAATGTTCAAAGCGATGATCCAGCCCACGTGGTAATGAGCCTAAGGACTCTAATCGACTATGTCATACAACATATAACATCTGTCAAGGATGAATTGCAGGCCAAATCGAAGAAAGACAACACGAGAGGTACGTTGTAGTACATTATGTACTAACATAATTATGTTTTATATTGTGGTTCGAAAACATTTACAATAATAATCTAATCGATTAGTCTAGGTGTATAATAATTTGTGCATATAGGTCGTACGTTTTCACTACACGATTAAATATGTTTGTACAAACTATAATAACTATAACTGTATAAAATAGCATAACATATTAATAACTAATAATATGTTTAGTCGTTTTTATATTTAAGTTTTTCTTTTGTATTTTTTCCAGGTGTTTCACCTATTCTAGAATCCGAAGAAGATTTTTACACCAGCTAGTTGGTTGAAAATTTAAAAATAAAACTGATAAACAAATCATACATTGAAGATATAATTTTGTATTTCGATGTGTTTACATTCATAATTTAATATAATAATATGTACACGTTTTTATTGTACATAATTTGCTTTTCATTTATAAAAAATGTGTGCGAAATATATAGTTTACAATGTCAAGTGTTGCGATACGATACACGTATTTGTTTGAGTACAAATATAAAATACTATACACCAAGGTACCACCATTCATTTGGTCGAAACGTATATTATGTTATATATTATATTATTATAAATCATGTGTTGTAAACTAAATAGTTTGTCGTCGGCATGTACGGGCGGTATTTAAATCAGATTTTTTCGATAAAATAAATTGGACTGAAGTCTTTACATTCAAATTATACTCTATTGAAAACTGCCGACCGCGATTTTAATTCCGTACGCAACACATAGGCCTCCTGCCGCATTATTTTCGCAACGCATTTTTTAATATAAAAGTGTAAAATTCTCGAAACACGTGTAGTTTTTCTATTACACTCGAGTGTGTAGTGTGCGCATATTATTATGTACACCTACTGGCTGTGCATGTATAATATAATATTATATTATTATGTTCGCGTGAATGCAGAACGTTCGGCCTGCGCGTTCGAGCGTGGACGTTATATAACTTCGAGTTTCCACCCTTCATCGTCGTCTTCATTTTTTTTTTAAAAACCAATATCTCTAGTATGATTAGTTTCCGAATTTGGTTCTTTTACATTTAGCGTACACAATTATTGTGAACGACTTATCGACAGATTAAAATGCCAATATGCAATGTTATAGATGTCAATCGTCAACTCGTAAGTCTGTTTTGTAAAATGTCCCGATTATTTACTAATAGCATATTACAGGTTAATATAAGGTGGCACGAATTAAATACTATTTATGAATATATTTCCTAAATTGTGTTCAAAAAGTAAAATCCCAACGTTATTTATAAAATAATAAATAAATAAAAATAAAATTGTGTAAAACAGTAAAACAATCAGTGTTGTCATAAATTCAAAATAATGCTTGAACATTTTTTATAAGTCACTATAAAATCTGGGGGGCTAAAATCACAATAGGGGGCTGAGATCTACATAGAGGCCTCCAATTGTACCAATGGGGAAATGCGTAAATCGATTCCTCCGAATTTTTTTTTATACCTATGTTGATCATATACATACAAAAAAATTGATTAGAAGCTAAACAATTGTTGTAAAAAAGATAAACATCAAAATTTAGTTTGAAAATGTGGAAATGGTCATCGGATTATTGGTTGCAAATCATTTCATTCAAAACTCAACACATAAATCACAGGTTAGATATGGTTATGTTAGGTTAGTATACTAATAAGCGCATAATCAAATTTTTTTGTTTTCACATGTATTAAATTTAAAAATACAAAATTGCAAACTAATTTAAATAAGAAAACTCAACATAATATATAAAAACAGCAAAAACAAATGACCGACGTTATCTCGGGAACAATTTCTAGCGGTTTCCAGGTAAAACGAGTCAAATACTATGAGACACTCTCTCGTTTTTCTATAATGGAATAAGAATTTTTTTGAAATTTCTTTTAGCGACTGCCGCTGACAAATTTCTGCTGGCGTATAACATATGATTATAAATATATATATTATTATACCTGTTCGTATTAAATGGGTTTGACATCGTTTTCATGTTATTATTAGCTGGTTACACCTATATATTCAATATTATAACGGTTTGAGCCACATAGCCGCGGGGGCGCATTTTCGATGAAAATATTGAGGTTGCTAAATCCCTCCAATATACCACCCTCTCGGGCTATTTTGAACGTACCGTCTCGGTTTCTTTTGATTCTTGTCAGTATGGTTGGGACGTGATTGAATTGAATTCAACTATTATATAATATCATAACTAGAGCTAGGATTTTGGTGACTTTTGAATTTATTTTCTCTAAGTGTTATACAATTCTAACCAAAAACTAAATTTGTTTCGTAATATAACAATTCAAAATATGTAATTTTTTTATTTTGCATTTTTTGTGTTAAATGCATTTTATTGCATTTAAAGATCATTTAAAATATTTAATATTACAAATATTACGTTCATTTTGTGTATTTAAACTAATTTTGGTTTATTTTAAGCTTTTTTAATATGTGTTGTAAAGGTAATCCCAAATAAGCAATTACCTACTCCAGTCCCATTGATATTGAAAAAGTAATATAATTAGTTGCCAATTTATCCGATAAGATTAAATATCGAACGAACCCATAACTATTTAGGTATACAATAGTATAGCTTTAGTAGTGAATTCGACACGCACCTATGTGGTTCTACCGATCTTAACTGTACAAAATGCCAACAATTAAGTCAACAGTAGGAAGCCTTTAAAATATCTGTTAATAACAAATGTGTAGGCTTCTGGAATCTTATTATCAAAATCTAATAATAAAATAAAACAAATTGAGACTAAATTGTCTCTTGCTCCTAATGTAATCGGTGAAACAATATCAAACAAACTGAAAAATGTTTTGATGAAAAATAATGGGTTCAAAGTTTTAAAAAATATATCTGCTATTCTGGACGGTGAAAATACAACAAGTAGAGATGGTATTCCGGAGTCTAACTTTAAATGATATGGTTCATTTCAAATATGCCCCTGTTATTTCTGTGGACGTTGAAAGAAGTTTTTCTTCACATAAAAAAATTTTATCTGATCACCTTCGCAGCTTCCTGTTTGAAAATCTTAATCATCTAATTGCGTGCAATGTAATAATATGTGTACAGGTGAATAAAAATATGATATATTTTTTATTAAATTATATTAATTTATGCTTTTATTGATTTTTCAGAATAATTTTATCAGAAACTGGTTACATTCACGAGTCTATTATGTTCACAACTAATAATAATATTTATTTTTAAAATCCATTTTTTCGCTCATCTAAGTACATTTTTTGGTTTTTTAAGTTCAGTTTTTACAGTTTTTAGGTCATTTTTGTGTATTTTTTAGCACTTGATTATTTTTAGATATAGTTAATATCTAAAAAAATTGTTTCTTATTGAAATACCTAAATGGTGTACTATAAAATATGCTTATTGTATAATATGTATTTAGTATATAATAGAATGGACACAATCGTTTCATTTTTGGGTTTATTAAAATAACAAAATAATTTTTACCAATACAGTTAAGTGAAGCCTTACAACCCGATCTTCAATTAAACATCAAAATTTTAAGCTTCCTAAAGGAAATCAATTTACATAACCTAACCTAATTTCAGAATATATGTTAAAAACTAATGTTTTGTTCAATAAAAAAAAAAAACCATTTTTTTCCTCTCGTATGTACAACATATTTATATTGGTATTATAAGTTATAACATTACAATTTGATTTCAATGATGTCTTTATTGTTGAAAAAGGCATAAGGGTTTCTTTTTAATCGTATTATGACTTAAATCTGTGGACTCCGTTGAAAACATACTATTATTGTCGATTATCGAATAATGAGCACAAATAAGTAGGTACTTACCTTTTAATCTGTGATCGGAAGTGTACTTGTCGACTCGGTTAGGTAGTTACCTCTCGAGATTGATTATTACCGTGCTACACCGGTATATTTAAATACTACCAGGCCTTTTAAATGCATGTTAAGACGGAGAACGCTAAAAAACTACGCGTAGGTAGTCTTTAACGTTTTAGTCCAATAACACTTTCCGAAAGAACTTAATAGGTACCTATAGATAATCTATTATAATTTAGTTAACAATTCGAATTAAATGTGTATTTATTTTGTTCTATTATGTACAGACACGGTGGACGAAAAGTAACACGCGCTCACACACATTGTAACTATATAACTTATTAACATAGTGTTTCGAACTGTGCAGGTATACGCAATGCGGTGATATAATATCCCGCGTAGACCTTATTCGTGTATCGATGATCCCCGGGGAACAGGATTGCACTGAACGGACGCGGGAAAAGTTTAAATCGCGGGTTGCCTTCTATAAAATATAGGCTTATAATATATATATATATATTTGTGTGTGTGTGTGTGTGTGTGTGTGTGTGTGTGTGTGTATGGATTGTATAGGTATCGTCAGTCTCTACCTGTCCACGTCGTTGTTTGTTTTTATATTTTTCACTCTGCAGGACGATACGTATACCTCCTATACATTATATACGCGTAAGTATACGCCGCCATAGAATGAAGTATTATCCATCCCTAAATTGTAGAAACTTTTTTTTAGCCGAAATGCCAAACGATACATTTTGAATTAAAATATAAATTATGGGTGATATTGGTAACCTATGTGTATATTTTTATTTATAGAACTTTCAGCTAAAAGCAATATTACCGCAGCTTCACGACTACATCAAATATTATATATTATTATATAAATATAGAACAATATTAGTGCAATAGAAACGTAGGTAACCAAATAATAATAACAACCACGATGATCTGGGTTGCATAATAGGAGACGCGGTATAGTTTTCATGCGTAATACAAATAAATACTAGCCGAAATATTAAACAATCTCCCTCAATCCGTTGTCAACATCATACAATTTATCATAGCAGCCAATTTTCAAAACAAGATATAAAAATGAATAGTTAGAATGAGTATAGACAATTAATTAATTAATTATTAAATTAATTATATCTTCTGTAAACCCCAATGGCCCATGTAGCCGAGGGTATTTTTTTCTTACAATAAAAAAAAAAATAAAAATAAATAAATGCGAATGTCAAGATCATATAATATAATATTATAAAATAAATACTTAGATAAAAATTGTATTGACGTAGGTAGGTTTGTGTTTAAAATTCATAAATTTGTAATGTTTTTCATTTTAAAGATCTCTGGTGTTTGCTATATGCATGATGAATGGTGATCTAATGTCGCCTTAGATTATGTACTATGGAATACCTTACCTAACCTATACATGATATGGCGAAAGATGTCAATGTTGGAGATCACGTTATTGGCCTGGAAATGTTGTTATCTAAAAATTGAGAAATGTTGAAATTGTATACCTTTCCTAGTTATTGACGTAAACAGACAGATAATTTGGTCATTTGAATTGAATACATTCGTATCATTAAAGATCAAACGATGCATTGGTACAAACATTTATATTATACATCTTACGTCT